TCTTGATGAAAAAAATATGTTATCGGATTTGGGTAAAGTTGATTTAGCATTGCATCATGAAAAAATAGCCTAGGTAAGCTTTTGGTGTTAGAAATCATAGTTTCACGGATATACTTGAGTATGTACATATTGACGTGTGGAAACCATCTCCTGCTGCATCACTTTCTGGAAAGTAAATTATTTTTTTAATAGATGAATACTCCAAATATGCTAGTATATATTTTTTTATCCACAAGTCTGAAATGTTTTCAACCTTTAGAAGTTGGCGCATACTAGTTGAGAGTCAAACTGGCCACAAGGTGAAATATCTACGATTCGATAATGGTGGCAAGTATACTTTTGAGGAATGTTAGATGTATTGTATAGAGGAGGGTCTGAATTGAGCCATAAACGTATGGCGGATTAAAATCATTTGAGAATTTTTTTGTTTTATTGCTTATACTCTCACACCAAAGGAGCACAAGATTAAGTTCAATCCTACATCCAAGAAATATCGTTCTTTTGGATATGCTAATAGAATGAAAGGTGACAGGCGTTTAAATCCAGTAGCATGTAAGTTTATTGTCAATAGGAATGTTTCTTTCAATGAGCCGAGCTTATTGAAGAGTAAAAGAGTTTTGAGTCTCCCCGTACTAACAAGGAAAAATCTTTGCTCATGGATGTTGTTATGCGGAAGCTTGATCATTATATCACTCATGATTTGTTACAAGAAGTAGCACCGGTGCATGTGAAGCAAGTTCTTGAGTAACATAGACTACATGAGCAGGTTATTGTTGATGAGCCTATTGCAACAGTATTAGACGATAGAGATCAATCGAAAACGTCAACTAGAAGATCATATCGTGATAATAGGACTCATTAGAGGTTTGGTGTATGGACCAACTCATTCATTCTCAAAGATTGTGACCTTCACACATATGATGTGATGATAAAGCGTTGATCTTGAAAGGAGGTGAAACTTCTTCATACATGGAAGCTCAAGCTTTGGTCAACAAGCTTCAGCTGCTGCTATGGAGCGGACGATACAATCATTGATTGACAACAAGACTTGAGAGCTGGAGCATTCTAAAGATTAGACACTGATTGACTCTAAGTGAGTATAATACCCACTTGAAGTCAATCAGTGTTGAAGGACAATCCAGTAAGAGACGAGGCAAGAATCTTCAAATCCAAGTGATGGCTAGAGATTTCACATAGTAAAATGGTGTGAACTACAACAAAGTTTTCTCTCCTGTAGCGAAGTATGTTATAATTTGTCTTGTATATGCAGTGGTTGCAATATTCAAACTTGTTATGGACCAAATGAATGTGATTACAATATTTCTCTGTGGATATTTAGAGAAGTAGATTTACATGAAATAGTTGTTGGCTTTGAGATCAAAGATCAGGAGAGATTGGTTTGTAGATTGTTGAAATCATTGTACGGAATAAAACAAGCTCTTAGGCAGTGGAACACGCAATTTGATGAGTTCATGAAGGCACAAGTACTTTTTACAAAGCGTGTATGATCCTTGTGTTTACATGAAGAAGATGAATGATGATATGTTCAATGTCATCGTTCTAGTATTCTATGTTGACAACATGTTGATCTCGACAAAGAACCAATCTGATGTTGATGAATGTAAGAATCAACTGAAATCCGCATTAAAGATGAAGGATATGGGAAATTCAAAGAGGATATTATGCATGAAAATTCATAGAGATTTTGATTAGAAGAGTCTATGATTGAATTAGAACAAGTATGTTAGTCGTATACTTGACAATAGAAAGGAAAAATTAGAAAGTAGTATGATATACTTATTATATATATATATATATATATAATAAGTATAGATAAGTATATATATATATAATAGATATATATTATGTGTACACTATGAACATATTGTAGGTATCTTCATATATTTGATGATGTGCAATAGGCTTGATATTGAGTAAAGTGAGCAGGTATATGTTGAATCCAAGGAAAGCTCATTAGGAAGCAATGAAATGAATCTGAGATATCTGAAGAGTATTGTGGATTATGGCTAACTATTTGATGATTTAGTAGACAAAGTTAAATCCTTGTTTGGCTACGTTGATGCTGACTATGGATTAGATTTAGAGAAAAGAAGATTCACAACTAGGTATGTGTTTACATTTAGTGGTGGAAGCATTAGTCGGAGATCTACCTTGAGAAGTGCGTAGCTCAGTCAACAATGGAAGCTAAGTATGTGGCAGCTGCAGAAGTAGCAAAGGAAGCTATATGGTTGGATATGCTTATCATGGAGATAGTATTGATAGAGGTCGCGGTTAATCTTCATTGTGATAGCTAGAATGCTTCACATTTGGCTGCAAACCAGATCATGGATAGCATAGTGAAGCACATTGACATTAGGTTTCACTTTATTATACATGCAGTGTTTGATAAAACGATTGAGCTAGTCCCGATTGACAAAGAACTCATTCTAGTTCATGAGTTTTAGAATTATTCATTTGGAGAATTTCATGCGACATTGTGCTACTATACAGTTTGTGCATGGGGAGCACATGTAGAGTTTTGCTAGCATAGTATTTTCAGTTATATTTTTATATATTTACTCTATCTATTAATTTGTGATGACTACAGCTTAATTCTAATTAACTCTCGTATAATGAGGAGCCTTGTATTAGATTTATTATTAGAATTTTTTGCGAAGTAAATATACAAATTACGAGGTTCCTATTCTTTCTATGCTAGCAAGTTCTCAATTACCTCTTTATGTTATTACTCTATCCAGATATGGCTACGGTTTAGTTTTATTTAACTCTCGTGTAAAGAAACGTCATTGTGATAGAATTTCGTCTAGAACTTTTTGTGGAATAATAATGTAGATTACAAAGGTTACTGTTTTCTTAACATGAGTTAAGGGGAAGATTGTTGAGATTAACTTTGATTAATGAGTAACCTCAGGTTCTAGCTATTTATAGCTAGGTTGGTCATTGTTGTTGGATATATATAACCTTATGCTTTTGCACTTGTACCTGTTGCGGTTTCACTTTGGTGGTAAAGTTTCTCGCATATTTTTCCCATTGACGTAGCACTTTTAAACTGCTTGTACTCGTGTGTAACTTTCTACCTATCATTGTCTTGCATATTTTGAACTGACATTTGGATAATGTGAAGTTTAATAATTTTACATTTGCACTAATTTCTATGCAATATAAAACTAAAAATCATTGTAAAAAATTTTCCTTGATCAAACCTTGAAGAAATGTATCATTTTTTTCTCATGTAGTTTGTCTTTTGATCTCAAGAATTACTATCATCTATTATTAAACTCTTATCATAATGTAGAAACAAATATAATCTTATTGATATATGTTCAAAATTCTTATGATTTATGTTTCGACTATCTATTATTAAATAAAAAATTTATAAATAAATTTTTAATGATATATTAGATTGCATTATATGTATTTCATTAGTTCATTAGTGCATTAATATTATTCACTTACTTCAAATTACACGTTAGAATAATAATCTAGTTATGTAGAAAAGTATTAATGCATATGATTTGTCACTTATCTCATGTACATTGGATCAAAATTGTTGAATTTCCTCCCCTTAGTTTACACACTAGATAACACAAAGAGTTACACCTTAAATTAATTGAATATTTGGGTGGTAATTTGCATTCTTATATCTTCTGGGTAGTAAATACGAGCAGAATTTTAGTTGTTAGTAAGTAAATAGACCCCAGTATTGAATATTGGGTTCAGGTCAAGGTTTCGTCACCCGCAAAAATTTCTTGATTGACATTGTTACAAGCACAATTTCTTCCCCACCTCGGTTGCTATTATATCGATATTTGATTTTCAAGCAATGACAAACCATGCGTTAGTATGTAAAACTCCATGGTTTTCATTGATAGAAAATTACAATTTGACGTGTAATATGTAACAACAACACGTCCAATTGTAACCTAGCTATGCTTTTTTTTGACATTGAGTGGAATCTTACTCTAGCTGTACTTCTGGTCTTCAAGTTGCAATCCGTATTAGTGGTAGGGTAGTGGATTAGTGATGGGGTAAAATTACAGTTCTGAATCGCTTGATTCCCACTAGGTAACGTTCTAGCTGTACTTCCGCGATGTGTACCCTACGTAAAAACTGCCTTCCACTTACGTACAATACATAAGAATTCCGTCGACGTAATCAGCTGAGACTCCACTCCAATACAGTTTTCATAGTCTTTGCGTGTACTCATATTATATTTCATCGTTGCATATGCATACTTAGATAAACGAATACATACAAACCAGAGATTCCAAACTGACACACGTAGAAAGGAAGAAATTGATCGCAGTAAACTCATACCGATCTGACGTAGAACACAATCATGCTTGCGCTCGATCTCAACCTCATCCACCACCGCTCTTGCGATTACAGTGCGCTCAACATGTGCATAGTAGGGAAAACCAAATCTCGTAGATTTGCAACAATCTCGTACGAATGTGTTTACAGTCGATCTTGTAAATGTTGTGTTTCCACGGGCTATGTCATGATAATAATAATGACTCCAAGTCAGAGCACAGTACACGAAAAAGTTCAACGAACGTCTTTCAACATCTATTGCAGTAAAAAAAATTCAACGAATGTCTTTCAGCATCGATTGCGTGATTCTAATCATCCGCAAATTTCTCATACATTTAATGCGCAAAACACAAACCTCTGTGATCGCACATGGGATTTCGTTTCGTGTAACTCGAACTGTCATCCAATCAAACCTCACTAGGTAGAAGCACATTTAAGCGTGAAATACAACCGCGTACAAGAGCACATGTGATTTCGTTTTGTATATGTTGATTTATAATCCAATCCGAGCTCACTCAGTATCACTTAACACCATAAAAGGATGAATCAAAGCCACTGACGTCTACACAACCAAAATGAGTAGGACTTAACTCCATGTATGGATGAATCAAACACACTTGCGTCTACACAACAAAAATCGGAAGAGCTACGATTAATTTACCATCCCGACAGAAGTATTGCAAGGTAACGATTTACATCCAGTACACATTGTTCAAATTTCCGTGCATCTATTCATAGGACATTTCACTGGCGGCAGTACCACCAGACAAATTTGGCTTCCACCGGAGGTTCTGAAGCTAAATTCATTTTCTACCGTTAAAAACCCAAGGCCATGAACCAACAGGAAAATATAAATACTAGCAGATTCTAGGCTTCGGTTAAGAGGCTTCGACAACTTGATTGAGTGAGGTAATATTCCGTATCCTGTGCTTACATCTATGCCAGGATGGACGTCCTCAAAACCATAAGCAACTAATTTCTTGTCCGAAGACTGAAAAGAAAATACCAGTGTCGCTGCCTCAGCAGCTTTGCGAAGTTCAGACACAACGTTCACTGAGCATGACTCCGCATGTTGGTACTCAAACAGCTACCGTCCTCTCATGTACGTCCTCTTATACAGGTCTCCAGATCCTAAGTAGAGTCAAAACAGTACCAACCACAAGTCCACAGACGAATCTAGCAAGGGGTGGTGATTCTGCTATGACAAACAATGATACACACATTTTCACAGCAGAATATCTTACACGTAGTGTACTAGGAGCCAGACTACAAGCTGACATAATGCACCATGAGTGCTAAGCTACCTACCAAAACAGGATGCGCAACAGCAGAAGTAGAACCACATGTTCCATCTCACCACACCAGGTGTTCTAGAGCTGGCGTATGTTTCCTGGGTTTCAAGTAAAGCAGCAACGATGAAGCTTTTACTGTGGTGTGGCAGATGGAAACGAGGAGCGTTGGGGGCTCAAATATACAGCCTCCATATATCCAAATATTGGCCAAAATACAGGCTCGCATACCAAATGGAAACCAATTATATTCCGCCTATCATCCCGGTACCATGGCATGGTGTCTCTTAACTGCCAACAATACCTTGATCTCCAAAAACAGACTTATTGCCTTAGAGCTTTTATAATGATGTGACTCACAACCTCAGCCAACCATAACTATAATACTACTGCCTTAAATTACATAGCAGGTTAGCAGCTTCCACAAACGATGTCATTCCAACAGAATGCCATAGCCAGGTGCTGTGCTTCTTGACACCACCAGACAGCAAGCCGACGATATTGGATTGTGTATATGGATACAATTTCAGTGAAGAAAAAACTATGTTTAGTTATGCCCCTCTGCCAAGTTGTCTGGGAGACTTCGCATACGAAGACACCTGTGAACCCCCACCGCCTGGTCTTCCTCCCCCGTTTCTCATCGACTGATGGCTATGGTTCTGTCCGTAGTGGTAGCCGTTTCCATTTCCGTAAAATTTACGATCCCGGTCGGATGAGACTGGCTGGTTGGATGTGCTGCCGGCCATGTCTTTCAGATCTAGCAAGGGTTTCAGTGTGTCTACCACATCACCCATCTGAGGTCTCGATTTTGGATCCCTGCTAAGACAATGATGAGCAAGGATGGCTGCCTTTTGTAGACCTCTCAAACTATACTGGTTGTCAAGACGAGGATCTATCAAACGGAACAATTTTCGCTTTTCTCCCAAATAAGGTCTTGCCCATTCCACCAGATTTTGCTCCCCACTTGGTCTATTCTTGTCCATAGATTTTCGACCCGTCAACATTTCCAATAGCACCACTCCAAATGAATATACATCACTCCGTGGAGTGAGATGACCGGTCATCACATACTCCGGGGCAGCATACCCATAAGTCCCCATCACACGGGTGGACACATGCGTCTTGTCTCCTTCAGGACCGTCCTTTGCTAGACCAAAATCGGAAAGTTTAGCGGTGTAGTCCTAGATTGTAACCAAATAAACAAGGACCACGTTGTAAGTTACTCTTTACATAAGTACCTCATATATAAGAAACCTAATAAAAGTTGAAAGGAAAAAAACACTTCTATCCACCGTAGATAATAAGTCATCTTAACATAACATATCCATTTCAACCAGTAAATATACCAAATAAAATCATACATACGAAATAATTTATTCACGATTATGATAGAAGCAATAGGAGTCGATGCATACTGAGTCCAGAAGAATGTTGGAGGTCTTGAAGTCACGATAGATGACGTGTTTCTCGTGCTTTTCGGCTCCTTCGTGCAAGAAAGCCAATCCCTTGGCAGCTCCAAATGCAATCTTCATCCTAACTGCCCAGGGGAGAGGTAGTGCACCCTCTGCAAGGATGGAGAAAAATAAACGAATTACGTGAGAGAAGCTTTTCAGAAAAATATCCCCTTTCCAATTTGTTCACAGTTCATACAAAAAAAACTACATGATACTATCTCTATGCAATGTTGGAAGAGCATATAACACAAACTTTACGCTGGGAAGCTCATCTACAGAAACATCCGTTCCTAATTGGTTCACAGTCCAACATGTAGCCACAATCACATCGTTGTGAACTTGTGTGCGTTTCCATAGTAACCTTGAAATAAGAAACTCTCCAGAAATTTCTCCTTTCAATAACAAGCACCAATACCATGGTAACCATAAGAAAGTGAAATTTAAATTCGTTTGTGAGGTTGATCCAATATAAGAAATGTTATTAAAAACTGACTCCAACAAATAAAAAAGTCATTGAAACAAAATGTATACAGTATAGCTACCTAAACATTGTAGTAATGGCAGAAATCAACAGAAACAAGAGAAACGTAAGGGAAAAAATAGCAAGGATTGAAAAAAAAAACTCCCCCAATATTTCACCGCTTCTACAATTTGGTAAATATGTTCAAGTCAGTACAAGTTTTCGGCTACGCCTCACCTATCGTGGCAGCTTCCTCTGCAGCGCGGAGGCATTACATTCTATGTCTCTAACGTCAATCAACGTTGCAATACTAGCAAGCTGTGTTTAGTACTGAGTGCATAAAAAGTCCGAGGTATCATATAACGGTAGGCAATAGAATCTGACAGGTGCCTCAACTAACTCAACTCCCGCGAACAGCCAACAAAAAAAGAAAAGCGCAAAATGAAGGATCTTTGTATGACACAGCTAAAGCCTACATGTGTTGGTGACTCTTAACCTTCAAGTTTCTTAATCAGAGACAACTTACACAAACGAGTAATGGAAAGGTATGTTGTTGAAACACGACTGAGCAAAAACCTAAGGAAAGTAGGATGCGTAGAATTCTTTTCGAAAGATGACTATCATTGCAGATACCATGCCATAAATTAGTGTAGAGAAATAGGTGGAAATGGGTTAAAATTCTTAACTTCACATCAATATTATAGGAAGCACTACTCACAACTGAGATATAGCAAGGGGTAAATCATAAAAATAAAAAGTTCCCATATTACAGGAATCTGACGGATGATATGCTCCATATTATGGAGTAGTAATCGTCAACCGTGTAAGAGTTAGTGGTACGAATCTCCATCCGACTGAACCGTATGAGTCTTTAAACCAACATAAAGGAGGTAAAGAAATGTACCATAGGACGCAATAAAACAGACGGTCTGTGTCACAAAATGGTAATTTCCAATTCAGCAGAAATAAAGGTGAAGGTGTGTGAACTCCAGCCGATTAAGAATGACCTCATGCTGTGCAAAGTGTTCAATTTCAGACAACTAAATCATATAACTCTCAATTGACGAAGTGACGGATGACATGGTTTGTACTGCGTGACGAATTTCAAGATAATTCACCAAAACATCTAAAAACGACCACGTGAAAAATCATGTGAAAGATACTGTCATTGGGGGATGTGACGTATCTATCCCTCAAGTGATCGTGGAAATTGCCGAGTAAAGTTGAATATAAACCATAGTAATAACTTCTATTCAAATTCCTGCTTATGATCAGATTGATAACTCGGAAAGTTGTTCATACGATCACCTACAAATCTTGTTGAATGAACTTCCAATGAGTGACGTAATACCCACTTGGAATGGAGTAACCGTTCATGAATACACGTTTTACTATAATCTTCGAGATAAAACTTACTCCTGAATAGATGATTTTCCAAACTCCCCCTGGGCATAAACTCATAGACAAGTAGTCGTTGATCGTCTTCGCAGCAATAGCCTATCAGCTTCACTAAATTCGGGTGATGCAACTGGCCCAGAAAGTTCACCTCCGCCTATCACCACAACAAGAAAGTTTTTCAGCGGAAAGTAGATGGACGACCCACAAGCTCGATGACCGAACTAAGCAATAACTCCTTGGACTGGAGCCGATGGTTAGATCCTTTTCCTCTCCAAACGAAATGTAGAGGTGAGATTTATGACAACAAGGAGCTTCCCCGTACCAGCCACTCTTTGTGCCCTTGAAGGCCTTCTTGATTGAGCTGCTTCACCGCGACCACCAAACCTGTTCCTGGTTTAACCGCCCCCGTACCATTTTCATCTATCCACCCCTTAAAAACGCACCCAAAGCCCCCCTCGCCTAAAAGACTATCTGGTCGAAAATTACGAGTCGCAGCCCTTAGCTCCTGGTAAGTAAACACACGAAGATGTTGTCCTCGAACTGAATCATCAACCGTAGGTAGTGCAATCCTTGGAGTCACATCAGGTAAATCACCGCCTGTAGAAAAAACGCTTCCAAGTTACTCATCGTCTCTTGCCAAGTTTTCTTCCCTCATCTAAAAGTCGTCCAGACGATACAGGAAGCCGGCAGAACTATTAGATGTAAAACAAGTTTCCAGGCTAAGATGCACAGTCACCACATGCGACTCATATACTTTTACACCAATGAAAAGAACAGCCAAGACTAAGGGAAACGTGACAGCTCACGCACTGGCAGCTACAATACCGTAGAACACGGTAGACGGATCGATTAGTCGCAAACACCTTACAGGAACGCTCAGACATCACTCTAACTTCGCTAAGTCTAGAGAACTTGCTATCAGGTGGTATTTGACGAACAGGTAATCACTCACCTCAGTCATATCCAGAAATTAGGCAGCATCGAGGATGAGAGACAACTAGGTACGCACCACAGACAATAGAGAGAGGAGAGAGAGAGCAGATTAGATGTAAGTTATACCGGAATTACTGAAGTCGGTACTCCCAGATTTTGTTGGTCCTGGCTTTGCCCAGCAGTTTCCCATAACCGCGCGCTCCAAGGCTTGCCAGCATGTACACATCCTTGCAAAACACCCGGTGTTCGTTCCTACATCATCTTTCTCACGAGCCTCCATTCAAGCCAACCTTACCAATGAGCCATGGCTACTCCCACTGTTGCACTCATCTGTCACTGAAGACCATTCACCCCCGACCCGCGAGAACCTCTTAAAACCAAGCCAAACCAAATCGAACGCCGAAACCTTTACGACCAAACTCCTCGTCGCTCCCTTAATCTGTTTTTCCAAACGTCATATCTTCCCCGCGGTAACGAGCCTGATGCCTGCTCGTGCAAAACTCGCGTCGAGTCCTACTCTCAGCGCGTTGTTTCGTTGGTTTTCGACTGGGTCGTTCTACCCTCTCTCACCTTGTCCACTCTGAAAGCTACCTTCTTCCAGCTTCTTCCAGCTTCTTCTGGTATTGAGCTGCACGGAGCGCGGGCGGATGGATGTACGAAAGACACGAGGTCAGGAGAGGGAACGAGCAAGAGAGAAAGAAAGCAGGCAAGCAAGTCAAGAGGAAGCGAAGCAAGGCAGGCGGGTGTCCGTCCGCCCTTACTATCTGGCAATCTATCTACCTGGCTCCGTAGAACAAGTCGAGCCCGGGCGGAGACCTCGACACAATTTCACGGTATGAACCTGAGGGCAGGCAAGAGGGCATGCACCAGACAGCGAGCCCGGTCGCCCGCTGATGACGACGAAGGAAGACGAGTGGAAGAACGACTGACCGAGACACGAAGCGAATTAAGAAAGACAGGAGGACAAAGGGGAGGAAAGGAAACGAAGGGAGGAAAGCAGCGGATGCAAGCAAGCGAGCTCGAGCGCTCGCGAGACCTACGGGTCCAGTAGTCTCCCTCTCACGGCCTCTCTCTCTCTGAGAGCGACGCACTGCGGCAACTGCAGCAGCAGCAGCTTAGTTCTGTGCTTTGAGTTCGCCTCGCCTCTTCTCCCCCTCCCCTCCCTGGCCTGGCTTTGCTTTGCTTTGCTTTACCTCGCCTGCCTGGCCTTAGCTTTGTCTGCTCTTCACTCCGCTTTGTGTTGTCTACTCTTGCCCTGCTTCTTGCCTGGGCTTGCTTGACACTGAGCAACAAAACCACGAATGACAAAAGGCGCAGACTTAGGAACCAACGAGCCAGCGAGAGGGCGGGCGGGCGGGGGAAAGTCAGGCGGGGGGCGACGCAAGGACGAGCCGCGGGAGGAAGGAGGAAGGACCGACCCCCAATCACACACTCGCTCGCCGCTCTTCTACTGCAGTCCTGGCATGCATGCCTGTGCCTGCCTGCCAGTCAGTCAGTCAGTCAGTCAGTCAGTCCAACAACAACAAGGAAACAGAGCGAGCAAGAGAACGCCCGGCCCGGGAAGCAATCCGCCTTTCGCGCAGTTAGAAGCAGGCGCTTTTCCGCTTTGGAGTTTAGCTTTTCAGTGAGAATCTCGGTCGTAGGCCGTCCGATGATCTATCCGAGGGTGGATTTAGACCTAAGTTTCACTCGCAGAGAAAGTCGACTGACGGTTCTTTCGGAGGGCTGATTTGTTGCTCGGTCACCGGGCAAACGGAGTGCGAACGGGCAGAAGAGACGACAAGGGCACGAATTCGGGGCGCGATGGGCCGGGCTGGAGGGCCTACGGGTAGGCGCACGGTGAGAGGAACGCAGACCGAAGGAACAGGACTTCAGCACAGCTGGGCGAGACGGAGGGAAAATGAAACGGGTGGGTGCCGGTACTGATCGACGAATGGTCGGCACGCGCAGTTCGTCGCTCGCTCGTTTGCTTTGGCTCGCGAGAGAAGACCGGAGTCCCCGCGCCATCTTTCCGGACCCAAAAGTCCTGTACCCAATCCGATTCTCCTGCTCCTCTTTCTTTCTTCATTCTCTCTAGCCCACCCATGCCATGCCATCCCATGCCATGTCTCGCCTCGCCCCAACTTTCCCTTCCTCCTCCATGCCATCGCCCCATACCATGCGCTTGCACAGTATCCAAACAAAGCCTGTCCCGGCATGCACTCTCACGCTCTGTAATCGGTCCCTCGACCCTCTTACAACAAATTCGTACTGTAACCTTAGTATCACTATGATTAGGCCGTCGAATTTTCCAGCCGAGCAATAATAGTTCTTCATCCAGCTTATCTTATATCTGGTCATAACGTCCAATATACTGGTCACTTTATCCATTCAATTGTTTAACCGTGTGTCTGCATCCTACATACATCCTACGTAACCAAATTCCCATATCTTAGATCTAGCGAGCTCTCTAAAACCTCAGATCCAAGCATCCATCAGAAAATGAATTTACAAGATGTAATTTTCAGATGTGTTCACTAACAGATTTGAAAATACGCATGAAAAAAAGATGCTCATAAACATCAATTTGTCATATATAGTGTTCACTCTTTCTTCTTGACATAATACTCTTCACTCTTTACAAATCATATAAGTTCATGAACCCTTAAACCTGGTCCACACAATTATTTTTTGAGAAAAAGCATGAACTTTCAAAACTTTAACATACTTGTAAATATATATTGATCAACATAATATATAACAGATTTTAAATTTTTACATTGAAAAATTCCAAAATTACATTTTAAATTTTAAAATAGATATGTGATTAATTTTATTAGCAGATAGAATATTCATTGCTAAAACTCAATCTAATCAACAAAAAATTCATAAATAAATTTTTGAAAAAAAAAATGTTATGAGGAAAAACACACAAAAATGAAAATATCTTGGTTGAATCCAAGGAAACATCTCCACTTAGATGATATAATGTTCGAGACGGTGAGCTAATTCTTGAGGTTTTGTGTAGTATCATAGAAATGCAAATCCTAATGCGCAACCACTATCAGCATCCAACAACAATCTTGACAGGAATTAGTATTAAAAATATCTCTCGTAACTCAATAGCCTCCATAACCTATTTAATTACTGTACGGAAAGTACTAGGGAAAAACACATGTATGTTTTTAAACTACAGTTAACTATAACTAAGTCATAGCCAAAACAAAATAAAGTAAAAATATACATAATTAATTAAAATTGTTGATAAAATCTAATTTTGAATCTCGTAAGGAACTTGCATAGTAGCACAATGTTTTATAAACCTCTTCAAAGAAATAATTTTGATCAACACATCAACTAGATTAAAATTAATGTAAATCTTAATTAGCTCAATATTTTTATAAAAAAATTGCATGGTCTGATAAATAATTAACCTATGTCAATGTATTTCATTATGTTTTCCATTAATTTATTTGCAAAAAAAATAACACATTTTATATATCACAAGATTGAAGACTTGTTGTTTTAATTTTATCTTAGTGATATGCCTATTCTATCAACTAGCTTCTTTTGTTGCTTCTGCTATCGTTACATATTCAACTTCAATTCTAGATTGAATTATTCATTTATGCAAGGTATATCTTTAAATAATCTAGTGTAAACACATACCCAGTTGTAAATTTCATTTCATTTCATTAACATCTTGTTCATAATCAACATCAACTCAACCTAGCAAAAATCTTGCATTGTCTAATTAATCATCAAATAATGAATCATAATACTTGATATTACTCAAGTATATGAGAATCCATTTTATTGGTTCCTAATTCACGTATCATAGATATGTCATATATCTTCTCATCTTGCCCACAGCTAAAGCAATATCAAATCTTGTGCATATGTAACCATCTTTAGTTAGTTAGAACTAAAGTAGAGTTTATTTTAAATATTGATGTAGATACTTTAGTGTGCACTAGTCATAGCTGCCACGTCAGCGATCCGCGCACTTGGTAGGTACACAGTGGATGTGTTAGTTGACAGTGCCACGTCAGAAATCCGTGTGCTTGTAGGTAAGGATTGACTGTGTTAGTTAGTGTGTTAGTTGGGTGCGCCACGTCAGCGATCCGTGTGCTTGTTAGGTTTATCCGCCACGTCATCCATCCACTAGGAGTGGGATGGAGGGTGGGGATTAGATCTTATCTCCTTGTACTTGTTGGTGAGAGCTATATAAGGGAGAGGAGAACCATTGTTGGTATCTCTTATCTTCAGAGTTTACGTTTCTATCTTCGAGTGAGCTTCTCTCTAAACCCTAGTGTTACAACATATCATCAAATACATGAAGTTATCAAAAGCTTTGTCACAAAAAACTGATGACATCTTTTTTATTCTTAATGGCATTTGTTGGACATTGAGTTGCAAAAAGCTTGAAGTGTGTTGCCAAAAAAAATTTCATACTTCTTTAATCATGTTAAAGTTGTCAAGCATACGTTGAACATACTTGTTTTGACTCAAATATAAACTATTCATCAACAAGTCTTTATGAATGTTCATCCCTAATGTACTTATAAACTTACACAAAATGTTCATCTTAATTGCAGATTTTTGCATATGTCAACATTGAATTTGCCAAGATAAGCACACCATTTACGTAGAGTATTCGAATAATAAGATTGAAGATCTTGTTATTCATCTTCTTCGTTTATACACAAGAATCATATACAATTTATGAAAAAAATTTGTATTTTCATGAACTCATCAAACCTTGCATTTCATTTTCTACAAAACCAATAAATTTGATTCACAACATAAAATGAATTAGTTATCCATAAATAAATTTTCTTGATATTTATTCTCAAAGCCAATTGATTGTCTTGTGTAAATTTTTTCTTTCAAAGATCAATAGTAAAGTGTAGTACGTATATACATCTGATTCATTATCAAACTAAATATTGCAGCAAATGCACAAAATAATCAAATTGTAGCATAATTTGTTACACATTAAAATATTTTGTTATAATTCATATCTTTCTCTTATGTGAAACTTCTAACCACTAATTTAGCTTTGAATATTCTACTTTCATCATCTACTAAATTGTTCTTTACTTATACATCCACTTGCAAGCAATCAAATTTGATTCCTTTGAAGCTTCACTAAAAGCTTGGAGTGCTATATAAAAAAAAAAAGAGTTATACTTCTTCCAAGATCAACGCAATGACATCATCATTCTCTTTATCGATATACTTAAAAATGTATGAATCAATCCATAATCAATACCTTGCAAAGTCCATATTATTTCAATTTTATGATATTTTAATGGACGATTTTAATTGATATTCATTGTTCGATGCAAGTATTTAAGTTTGACCAACAACAATGTACTACTCTAAATTTTGCTTTTCAAGATGTTTTTCTATGTGTATTGGAGTTTCTTTTTGTGTCACATCATGAATCATATAATAATCAATCTCCATTCGTGACAAACAACATTAGTGAGTAAAGTTTATTACTTCCCAATACAAGGAGTCTTAAGACTCTCTATCTCTTTTATCAATTTGTACTCATTGAAAACAAACATTCTTACTGACAATGAATTTATATATTGTTAGATCACATAGCTTAAAACACTTCACACCACTAACATATCCAAAAAAAATTGACATTTCTTGAATGTATTATTCAACTTGGTACTATTTTCTTGAATGTGTGAGATTAAGTTTTACAAAAAACTTTGTTTGTGACTCAGTTCAGATGATATGAAAACATTGATTGCATTAGAAGAAATTTTTTTAATCAAATACACACAGGTATTGATAGTTTCAGTCCAAAATAGTTGATACGCTAGATTGACTCAACATATTATGCATATTTCCCCACACTATTTAATAAAGTATCTCACAATCAGCATTTGGTTGCATTATTGCAAATATTTTATTGTCATTATTTATCATTTCCATTTTTTTTTCTTCAATAATATAGATATTATTACTATTACTGATTTCAAACGTTCATCCTGCTACAAAGATCATTGAGATTGTTGACTTAGTTGTAGCTCAATTATGAAACATAACAATGTAAACAACTTGCACAAAATAATAACATAAAATTCATAAAAAAATAAAACAGTACTTTCAAAAATATTGAGATTTTTGTTACTTGAATTTTTCATATTTTATTTTAGAATAAAAAACGTAATATATATGCACATTTTTTGAAAATTATGACTTAGATTTCTGAAACATCAATGCTAAAAAATAATACAAAGATCATTATATTTTTATTTATAG